TCTTAATTCAGTGAATAGAAAGATTTGTTCTAATAGTGTTTGTGGACAGGATATCATGTCTGCATCTTGTACAATGAATAACCACTACGACAACAATATGCAATGTATTAATTATTGAAACTGTCCTAATCGGTTCTGAAACTGTCTCAGTGCTATTTGTTTCTCAATAAAATTATTTTAAAAATGAACAAAAGATTTGAACTGAAGACCTTAAGTACTTGCTTTTTGCCCATTGACCAGATAACTAGAACTATCTGCATTATCTATGCAGCATGGGTTTTTTGTTTTTTTTTTACCTAAAGATGTTTCTTTTTGGTAATGACAAACATTTTTTTTTAAACCTGGTTTTTCTCAATACATCTTTAAAGATTCTAAAATTGTTTCGTATCTGGTCAAGTTGAGCGTTTTAAGAACTTCATTTTTAATTTGTAATAAAAGTTTACAACTTGATTTTTTCAAAAAAGTCAACAACCTGCAAGCATCTGTTAATAAAGGTCTTAAATTTAAAAAAAGAAAAAGAAAAGCTAACCATAATCAGTCTGCAAGATTCCATTTTAGGTAGTAGATAGGCAGGTATAGGTAATTTAAAGTGAAAGGATGAAAGTATGCAAAAGCTAATTCAAAGCAAGACTATATTAAAATAAGATGTGTTAGTTGGCTGTCTTTCTGTAACAAACAACTTAGAAAAGATGCTGGGCTCACAGTTTGATAAATTTCAGTTCATTTTGATAAATGACTGATTGGGTCCATTGGGCCTGTGATGAGGCGTCACACTGTAACAGAAGGTTGTATCAGAGCAAAACCACTCACTTGATGGTCAGGAAGTGAAAAAGAAAATGGGGAAAGGTTGGTATCCCATGATCACATTCATGACCTTTGTCCCCAGTGACCTGACAACCTACCCTGAGGCCCCACCTCTTAAGAGGTTTTATCTCTGTCATGGTTTTGGGTTTTTGCAAGGGGAACAATATAATATGGGACACATTTTATAATATTATTTTATAATGAATCACCCAAAGAATCATATACAAGAAGTGTTGGAAATCTGTCCACACACTAAAGACCAAAGAATCTAGCTGAGAGCCTGGATCCTAATATCTTGCATGAGTCCAGTTGAAAACCTAGCGCTCCTAACAACACCTCGCACAAGTCCAATTGGAGGCGTAGAGCCCGTGACAATGTCTCATGCAGGCTTGCTTCACAGATCATGCTGGAAGGGCCCAAAGGTTAGTAGTGGTGGAAGCTAGGAAGTCTATGCAAGCAGAATGAAGGGTCTGTGCTAGCAGACTGAGGGATCTGAACTGGAGCTAGGAAACAATGCTCAAGGTAAGCGCCAGAGCTCCCCCAATAGTACCACAGCCATCTTCAGCAACGATGAGGTCCTGAGCTCCTCCAGCAATGAGGAAATCTGAGTTCCCATCAGGAACGCCAATGTGACAAGCTTCTCCATGAGGCTGAGCAGTGTACCGTCTTCCCCTCTGGAGCCTGGATGTGATGTTCAAGATGAGAACCACAGCTCCCCTAAAATGAGCCGCAGCCATTTTCAGTGACAACGAAGGTCCTGAGCTTCTCCAATGACAATAACAGCCAAGTTCATCAGGAAATCCAGCATGACAAAGTCCTCTATCAGAACAACCCAAGAGAACAAGCAGCTTCCAAGAGCTTCTCCAAACAACATTTCTAATAGTGTCTCAGCAGTTTCTCCTATTCTGCCTCTTATTCTACTTGCAACAATCCTCACATAGGCCTCCCACACCCAGCACCATGCTAGTTCAAGTCAGCTGGGTGGAACAATGTGGCCACCAGGTAGCTATCCGCTACACTCTCCAATGAGCACTACAGGATGGCACTAAGCCATGGCCTTTGGAAACATGAGCCTTTGGAGAACATTTAAGAACCAAAGAGGAGTATAAGATGAAGTAGAGGGGCTGGGAAGATGGCTCAGTAGAATAAGCACTTGCCTAGCAAGCACAAGGGCCTGAGTTCAATCCCTGGTTCTGTAAAAAATAAAATAAAATAAAAAAATTTAAATTCTGATGAATTGGTCTTTTTAAGTTACACAATGTATGGGTATTTTTACAAAATGGAATGGTAACATTTGTCTGTTAAAATAAAAATGGATACACTCTCAAAAAAATAAACACCAAAAAAAGATAAAGTAGATGCCAGAGAAATATTACAATAATTTAATGACAAAGAGAACAGTTCAAGATAACAGTAGGAGCCAAGCATGAGATGTGTCACTTATGTGTGATGTCTCTGCTGCTGGGTCCATGGAGACAGAAATCTAAAGAAATCATATTCTACTGAAAAATATCTTAAACAGCCGCACTACTCAAGAGACCCTGGAAATAATAAATCAGGGAAAAACTAATGGTGGGAGAACATATTAATGGAAACAAGTGTATATCTATGACATGAAGAAATCGAGAAAGAGGGTGAACATTCAAGTCTGTATCAGGAGATACTGCAGCAGATGTCAACTGTGGTTGTGCCACAATTTTATCATGAGATTTTCCTTTCACTGCTTGGTACAACTGTGTTGACAATGCACATCATTTCAGCCCCTACAGTTCCACCACTATTGGTCCTTATTTCCCTCAGTTTTAACTTCTTATATCTGGTTATCTCTGAGTATTATGTATTGCAAAAGATAAATATTAGAAAGAGACTGACGTCAAAGAAGATGTTATCCTGCAGAGAGACCTTGTTAGCTCATGATTGTGAGGGACTCAGTCTGATTTCTGTTTCTGGGAGGTCTTATCTATTTCTGGCTTAACCTATGGCATGTGGTACATGGGACTGAACTCTGGGCCTTGGGCTTTCCAGGCAGGTACTTATGCCACTGAGTTATATCCCTGGCCTACACAGTCTTAAACATGTGTGCAAGTCACTGACAACTTTCCATACAGGTAAGTATTGGATTCTGTTTTTTCTCAACACAGATCAATAAAGCTAACTAAATCCAAGATCTCAGTCACTCAATTGTCTCCAGTGATATCTGTGACACAAAAAGCAGTTCCAAATACCAAGGTCACTTTCTAAGTTTCCTTCTGCTAGGTATTGGTATAGTTTTCTTCTTTGCTTTGATGTCTATGATGCTTGTTATTCTTTTCTAATATTTTGTCCAGCTTTTTGAGCTGTAACCAGTGGCAAAACTGACATACAGTCATCCTTTGCTATCTGCAGGAATTGCTTCCAGGACCCCTGAAGATAAAAAAAATCTGCAGATGCTCAAGTTTGCAATACAAAGCACTATACTTGCATAAAACCTAGGTAATCTCATATATTCTAATTACCTCCATATTACATATAATACCTACTACGACAAAAATAGTTATATGCTTAGGCAACAATCACAAGAAAGGCCTGTGTATGTTCGGTGTGTAGTTTCTTCCACTTTCATCTGAGGTTGGCTGAGCCATGGATGCAGAATCCACTGACCTAGAGAGCCAAGTGTATGTTACGTACTCCCCACTTCCATAGTCGGAGAGTCCATTTCCTTGTAATAATTTGCATGGTTACACAGACCGCTACATTCCTGACCTATAACTGACACTCCCCAACCTTTGCTCCATGATGGGAAACCAAGGCACCGTGGTATATCAGTAAGATTTCTTGGAAATACTAAGTACTCAGATGTCCTTCATTTAATTTGTAAAGCACTAACAGCCTAATAAGCTAGTTCCCTGGTCTGAGCAATATTTCCATTTTTGATTAGAGGCAAGTAACAATTTTCTCTAATCAGTGGATTAAGAAGACCAAGAAAGAGTGGACCTAGTGGCACACCCCTCTAATCCCAGAACTCTGGGAAAGTGAGGAAGCGAGATGATAAACTTGAGCTCTGCCTGGACAACACAACGACTCAAGACCTGATCACTAACAAAGGGGTGGGGGAAGGGCATGTGGCCCAGGGTAAAGGTCTTCGATTCAATTCCTGTTACCTATAAACACAAAAAGAAAGCTAAGAAAATCACAATACATATAGTAAGACTCAAATCTATGATTTTAACATGAGTATTTTATTAAATTACATCATTTAACAGTACCAGGAATAAGTGATATTCATATATAATGCATTTAGAGAAAACATTTACTACATAACAACTCTTCATCTTTTTTCTGTCAAATTATTTGACCAGATTTCTAGAAAGTAATATCATAAATCAAATTTTAACCTCAAAAGAACATGTGCCCATGGCACGTCTTTAACCATGGGCCACTTTCTGTATTATATTTAACACTGTTTGGTATACTGCTCAGCGCACTTTTACTCCAATTATTTAAAAAAAAAAAATCAGATTTTATTTGTACATTTTAGATATTTTCTTTAATGATTTAATTTTATTTCCTATAAGACAGGATCAAGTTGTAAATTCTAGTATCTTTGAAGCTAATTCTTCTGTCTCCCAAATACTGATCTACTAACAAAGTTCTCCCATACTGAAGTCTACTTAAAGATAGTTTTATTTATTTATTTTTATTTTTTGTTTTTTGTCTTTTTGATGGTTTTAAGTAGAGAGAAAAATGTACATGTTTTACAGAAAAGCAGATGGCTCCACCTAAAAACCCTGCCTAAGCACAGAGCATAGTGGTGCTTCTATAATCCCAGAACTGGGAGGCTGAGGTAAAAGGATCACTGAGTTCAAGGCCAGCCTGAGCTACACACTGAGTTCAAGGACAGCCTGAGCTACATGGTAAGACCCTGTCTCAAAAAATAACCTGCCTAAGATTCTTCTGGTTAGGTTGCACTTTACAGCATCACACCTGAAACAAAAGCACAGAGGCGAAGAGTTCTTAATTTCCCACCTCGAGAGGGAAAATGTTTCCATGTTCCTAAGCTGCCAATTTCTAAATCACTAGGGTAACCCTAGGTTGACTAATCTTTTCAATGATCAGAATGGCACATTTAGTTATAAAATCTTTTTAACACTGAGAAAGTGAATTGTCAGACAAAATCCTTCCTGTCAGTTCTCCTCTTATCCCCATCCTTCAGAAAGTCAATCTTGTATAAGTCAATGTGAAAGTAGACCGCACCACTGAATCCAGCTGGAGTGAGTCCACTCCAGTTTTTCTCAACATAACAAATACTTTTCAGTCACACTCAATGGAAAGCAGTCACAAGTACCATTTTAGGATTTCCTGCTAGATATTAGCATGATTTTCTTCTCTGCTTTGCCATCTCTTGATACTATTCAACGTTCCCCTACTTCCAGTCAAAAATTATTAGTCTAGCTGCAAATCAAGGAAAATATTTCAGATGTCCAACTTCAAAAAGAACAAATTAAAAATGTACCATATGTGATTTTCCACATCATACCAGGTCTTTCTCTGTAGTCAAAGGTAATAGAGACGGTTTGATAGTGAGTAATGTGCCTCTTGTTGAATATTTTGCCCCACAAAGTAAGCCAATTTGTGGGCATAATGGCAAGGAGCAGGAACTCGAATGGTGCCCTTCAGAAAAAAAAAAAAAATATTTTTAACTTCATGTTACCTTGTATTTGCCCTTACATCTACTTACTCTAAGTTTAAATTTTTATAGATATCAGTTCAGAGGTTTGAATTTTGCTCAGTTTTGAACAATATCTTTTATAGGTTGGAAGAAAAAAAATCAATGAGACAATACTTACTGCAAAGTTATAGCACATGTGGCATAGCTTGTAAGTTAAACACTGTACTTTATCTGGTTCAAAGCAAACTGTGTCGTAGATAACATTATAATGAGTGGGATTAACAGTTCCATGCCTCGTGGACTGACTCACAATATAAAAGTCATACCTGAAATTATACAACAGATCAGTACCAGTTTATTTTAAAAGAAAAAAAAATATGGTACTGCATGCCATGCCAGCCCTACCCCCAGGGCATGCTGAGCTGGGGATCAAGTTCAGGTGCCGTGGTACACACCTGTGATCCCAGTGCTGGGGAGGCTGAAAACAGAAGGATCACTACAATTCTGAGCTGCGCAGTGAGACCCTGAACCACATACATAAATGAAAAATAAAGAAATATGGTAACATTGGGAGCAAAACCATTTAATAAGTTACAGAAATCTGTTCCATAGACAAAGTTTTCTTTAAATTTAGATGCTTGTCTAACTGGCAAACAATGATCTCATAAAGCAAATCCATAAAGGACAGCTAAGGTAGATCAGTTTCCTTCTTCCTAAAATATAACCTTTAGGTTGTGGTATTTTCAGTGAGCCTGATGGATTAGCATACATACAATATATGGTCACCTGAGCACGCTGGTATTTCACAGGCACCCTTGATGACGGCTTAGCGAGCTAGCAAATTCTAGTTTGATAACTTCTTAGCAGCTTAAATATACTATTTCATTGTCCTGGTTGTTACTGTAGAGTTTTATTTAAAAAAATCTTGTGCTTGCTTCTCTCAAGTGTTATTATAATGTTCTCAAAGTGTAGGTATACATTTATTGATATGTTTAAATCTTATGATTCCTTAATCTGAGTTCAGAATCTCATTCTTAGGATATTACTCACCCTTCTTACATAGTATTGTATTATTTTCTACAGACATTTCTATTGATATATAGCAAATCTCATTTTACCTTTTTTTTTTGGGGGGGGGTGTTTCTGGTAGGACCAGAGATTGAACTCAGGCCCTTGTGTTTGCCAGGCAAGCGCTTATTCTACTGAGCTATCACCCCAGCACCTTAATTTTTCTTAACTTTTTTTATACTCACCTGTCTTTATGGTTCTCTGCATTGTGGGGATTTTTAATATATTTTCCAGTTAACTATTTTCTTTGTCTAATCTATTACTTAAGCATTCCTCTGTTCGTTTGTTTTTTCATTTTCTCTATGTTTCACTATTTGACATGCAAATCTGATATTTTAATTCAAAGTTTCTTAGGGTTTTTTTTCATTTGTGCTGGTTGAGGATGAACCAGGACCTTTATACAAAGTTACCTCAGCCCCCTCTCCATTTTTCAGACAAGGTCTCCCTAAGTTACTAAATTGCACAGGCTGGGCTCAAACTTGCTCTCCTTCCACCTCCCAAAGCAGTTATTTCTAATGGCTTTCTTTCAATTTTTTATCCTCCTGGTCACTATACATATTTTAATATAGAATGTCTGCAACTGTTTCATTATCTAAAAAATGATGTAACTAATCCCTTTGTCATTTTGTCTGCTGATTGTTACTCATAGTACATTGCTTACTTATAAGAAAAAAAATTCCTAAATCACTGTTATGAATTACATTATGTCAATGTGTAACAGTACAATATATAACTAAATTCTGTATTTTGTAGATTATTCAATATTAGTATTACTTTGGTAATACATCACTTGTTCATGTTCTAAGAGGATATAGGTCATAAGAGAAACTTTGATACTTTGTTACTGCCTTTAAAAGAAGCAAACTTTTTTTTTTCCAGAACTGGGGATTGAACTTGGGACCTTGCACTTGCCAGGCATACTGAGCTATCTCCCCACAAACATTTTTTTAAAACAAAATTGCCTCAGGTTATTAAACTTTTTTGTGTGGTGCTGGGATTGAACTCAGAGCCTTTTCACTGAGCTATATCTCCAGCCCTCATAAAAAAACTCTGAAACAGGATCTTACTAAATCATCAAGTTGCCTGGGTTTGGTTCAAAGTTGCAATCTTCCCCATTTAACCTCCCACAGGCTGGGATTACAGGCATGCACCACCACACTTGGCCTGAACAAACATTTTAATAGGCTATATACCACATTATTTGATTTGTGATGATTCCAACCTGTTAGTGTAAACATACCATTCTACTTTCATGTTTGTAAATAGTTTGAGGATTACAGTAAATTTAACCTTTATTTAGAGCATTAACTTTTTTTTTTTTTTTTTTTGTAGTACCAGCGATTGAATCCAGGACCCTGCGCTTGCCAGGCAAATGCTTCTTCTACTGAGCTATTTCCCTGTCAATTTAACCTTTATTTAATCACAGGGACAAATCTAATGAAGAAAATTCACCAGAAGATCAAACACAATTTCTGATTCTAAATAAAGCATCCCTGGCCAAGAGTTCCAGGAGTCCAAAGTTGAATAGTCCCTCCCAAAAGGATCAGATTGTCAAGAAGCAGAAAATGAAGGGCTGGCCTAATAGCTCAGTGAATTAAAGTGTCTGCAAGCAGGTGCAGGGGCCGGGGTTTGGATCCTGGGCCTGCCCCTGGAGGCACACTGAGATGGCAATCGAGACTGAGTGTGGTGGCGCACACCTGTAATCCCAGCTCTTGGGAAGATGTAAATAGGCAGATCACTACGAGTTCGATCTAGTAGTGAGACCCTGAGCATCCTGTAGACCCTTCCTGAAAATACAAAACAAAACAAAACAAAACAAAACAAAGAAAGAAAGAAAGAAAGAAAGAAAGCAGAAAATGCTTTTAAGGTGAAGTAATAGAGAGAAGTGATTTTGAATTAAATAAAGACAGTTATGGATGCAGATATAAAAATAAAAGTAGCTTACCATTCCCATCTAGTTAACACTTTATCAATAACAGTGCCTGCAGGTGGATTTCTAAACTTGCCATCAACCTGAAAAAACCTGGTGTTGATTCGTTTCTTCACTACAATGAAAGTTAGCTTGATCCTAAAAGTCAGAGCAAATGTCACTATGGTTACTCAGTCTTATCTCAGACATTCAAGGTGTTAGAACCTCACACTGTAGGGCCTATTAGAAATCCTGCATATAGCAGTCCTCCATATACTCCAGCTCACAGTGTTAGTCCCCACATTCCTAATTAAAGCAGAAAATGAGAAAGTGCTCACAGCCAACCGCAACCTAAAGAAGAGTCTTCCTCAAAACATATTCATAGACATCTACCAATCCCTGAGGCTAAGGTGCCCTCCATGTAGCTGATTTTGTTTGTTTTTGGCAGAACTGGGGATTGAACTCAGGCCCCTGTGCTTGCCAGGCAAGCGCTTATTCTACTGAGCCATCTTCTTGGCCCTAAGGTGTCCTCCATCCAGAGACCTGAAATGAGACGTAGAAGAGCCACTGAGGGCACCTGGGGAAAACTATCTGCTCTTGCCATTCTCACTCTTCTCTGAACAGAGTGAGCACAAAGTCAAAGGGAGAAGCACTGTCTTTTGCCCGCCCAACCCCTGAGGTCCACTGGCTGCACTATGTCCTTTTCTCATCACTCATTAGATTGCTCCAAATAGATTTTTCTCATGGACTAAAATGTACAGCTTGCAAAGTCTGCACTTTACAATTTCTATTCTTACTCATGCTTTGTTAAGTGTCTCAAAAGCTGTGGAATTTCATGGTCAATTAAGGCCTGAAGCTGACCATCTCCTACTCCATCCCGATATACCACAACAGAATCTGGCTGGTGGTGCACATTCTTAAACCAGGAATCTAAGGCAGCTGAAAAAAAAAGAAAACACATTTAAATAAAGTACAACTTGGAACAAACTGGTCTATATTATTTTTGACAATGTCTAAGTTCACCTTTTAGTACTATAGCTCTTAGGACAGTTTTTCTTCCTACAACCATAAGCTAGCCTAGGATTTCTCAACAACAGCACTACTGAAATCTGGAGACAGGTGATGTTTAGTAACAGTGGTGGTGGTACCTTATGCACAGTAAGATAGTGAGCGGTGTCTCTGGTCTCCACCCACCTGACTAAATGCTAACTATATTATCATCCCAGTTGTAGCAACAAAAAATATTTTCAGCTATAAGTAGATGGTCTTTGGGGGCACTATGTGCACTTGCCAATATCTAATACTGTAGAGCTTGGTATGCCAACCTCCTTACAATACTGACCTTCCAAACAGTTACTCAACCCATCCACAAGTTCCTGTCCAGTTTCCTGGAAGACACACTGGGAATACCACCTGTTCACAGATAAATAAGATTCTGTTGGAATCTTACAATGTCATCATTTGAATTTTGAGTTAATCTATTACCAAGAAGAAAAATTACTATCAGTATCCAATTACACGATCAATTCTTTTGCATCCTTAAAGAGATCAGAAGTATTGTTCTCTTCCGATATCGTAGATATTTTACAGGATTTTTCAAGAGTACACGAAGCAAACAGATGCATTTGACAACATTATAAACCATTCATGTTTTCAATATGCATGACTATAGTTAGTCACACCCACTGGGGAATGTGATCAAATGAAAATTCAGTGTTCCTGGGCATTCCTGCTTTGGGGTCAATGTCCTAAGCAATGTTTCACTCATAATATTCTTTGCAGGAAGCCATTTGCTTGGTAATGTTGAAAAGAACTATGACCATTTCAACATGTCCAGTAAATACTTACATTGTCTCAAGTTCCTATCCCCCTAGTGATCGTTTCCCTCTGAGTAAGCTTATCTGCCCACCTAACACACACACACACACACACACACACACACACACACACACACACACATCTATGTCTACTTATTTACCAAGATTCAAGTTCCATGAAATACAAACAAGATTTTGGCTCACTACTTTCACTGCTCAATTCCCAGCACTTGAACATGGAAATTTTGGCTCAAAAATATCTTTTCAGGGAGTAACACTTTCTCCATATAAATACCGTTATTTTCTAACTCCCAAGAAAAAGCAGAGCAAAACAATGTTACTACATTGAATCAGAATGACTCAGGGAAAAGATGTCATCCATGGAAATAAAGATGGAACTTCCTTTAAGAAAATTGTTCCAAAATCAGGAACAATAAAAGGATGCCCACTCTCACTACTACTACTCAATAGCTAAAGCCAAAACTAGGCAATATAATGAAATAAAAGAAATACAAATAGAAAATAAAGAAATCAAATTAGCTTTGTATGCAGATAATATGAACATATACATCGAAGACCCTAAAGAATCCACCAAAAGACCTTTGGAGCTATTAAATTCAGTAGCAGGATATAAAAACATTAAAAAAACTTTTCTATACACAAATAATGGAATAGTTGAAAAAGAAATCAAGAAAACAATTTATAACATCTTTTCTAAAAAGTATCTATCAACCAATGTAACCCAAAAGATGAAAGATCACTACAATAGAAATTCCAAAACTTTGAGGAAGACACACGATGGAAAAATCTTTCTTGTTTATGGATTGCCAGTATTAACTTTTTTAATGTATTTGGTACAGGGACTCCCTATACAGCTGCTGGGGATCAAATCCCAGTCTCTGCGCTTGCCTAAGCAGGCACTTATCCCATGAGCTATCTCACTGGCCCCAGAATTAATATTATTTAAATGGCTCTATTAGCAAAAGCAATCTATAGACTCAATGCAATCCTCATCAAATACCAAAGACATTTTTCACAGAACTTGGAAAAATGATCCTAAAATTTATATAGAAACGCAAAAACCAAAGCAATATTAAGCAAAAAAAGCAGGCTGGAGTCATTATAATATCCCGTTTCTAACTACACAACAAAGCCCTAGTAACAAAAACTGTGAAACAAGCATGAAAACAGACAGACCAGCAAAACAGAATTGAGGACACAGAAACAAACCCAGGCAACTATAGCCATCTGATTCTGGACAAAGGAGCCAAAAATACATATGAGAGATAAGACACCCTCTTTAACAAACGGTAATTAGGAAACTGGACATCCACTTATAGATGACTGAAATTAGATCCCTGTCTCTCATCCTGTACAAAAATCTATTCCAAAGGGACAAATAAAAATAGTATTTTTTTAAATTTAAAGAAATGTGTATATAGGAAATAAGAGAAAAAGATGCTTACTATGAGCTTAACAACCAATACCAATAGGCTACAAGAGGAAGACAAGATAAAAATCAGTACTATTTATAATAATTCTGGCTGAGAATACGTTTCATTTATGAAGATTCAGCTCCTGTGTATAATTATAGACAAATGTATTAACAATCTTCTGAAACTTTACAGAAGTAAAATAGCCAGTGTATTTCACAATGATAGATTTTTATTAACTTTTCTAACAAGTTTCTGGGTAATTACCAAGCTATCTGAGACTGTGAAATTTTTACCTTTCTTATTCACTGACAGATGACTATTTGTTATTACCTCAAGCTATAACACATTAAAATAACTGTTTTATATAGAAAAACATCTAAAAAAA